CCCCACCATAGACACCTGCAGTCTAGAGTTTTGCAAATATCTCAGCAACGTTGTGGTTGTATTTCGCTTAGTAACCTGCCATGAAAATTATAGAAGGCAGAAATCTCAGCATCCACAACGTTGCTGAGATATTTGCAAAACCCCGGACCGCAGGTGTCTGCTGCGGTGGGGAACGAAAATATATATATATATATATATATATATATATATGTATATATATATATATAAGGAAGGGACAGCTGGACGAAGCGCATTACACTACGGTTGCAGATTCGTTTAGTGCAGCACAAAGTAACAATTTCTCTTGTTATGTCATGACCTAATTCAAAACTCCCACATTTCTCCGATTCCCGAGTTCCCTCTTTGGCTGTGCTATCAATTTCTTCAAGCATGATTATTTAAACTTATCCTTCAAAAAAGCCATCTGTAAATTCTTAAGTTATTAAGAAAACGATGCTACAAATCCGACTCACTGAGGATGACAGGATGCTTAAGTGGTGGCTTCTTCAAGGATTTCCACGGGTAAGGTGACATACATCTCACAGTGGCTATCAAGGACACAATCACGACACAGTAGTACATTAATCGTAGAACCATCTGAAATTGTTCACACATCTTACAGTAATTTCCACAACCGACTTTCTATTAACCTCGGTATTGATCAAATAGTTCCCGATCATATGCTACTCTTATCAGCTGCACTTCCTCAGTGGAAGGCACGTAATAAACGGCGCTTTTTCGAGAAGCTGGTGATCGTGTGATTGCCATATAGGTTTTCATCTTTCTGTATGTGTTATTGAAGCGTCTGATAAGGTAAAATCAATACAGCTTTCCAGGCTCTGAAGAAGGCGATACTGCCGAAACTTCAGCTTTACCTGACCAAAGAATAAAGTAACACCTCGTGTTTGCTCAACAAGAATATCGAGAACTAATTGTTCACTAAATACCAGTACCGCAGACGAGAGGAGATAATTTTGCAAGCACTTTTCAAATTTGCATCGTTCTTAAGATTAAGCTATTGCTCGACAATCAAGAAATATGTTTAGAAAACAGCCGTAGACGATGTTAGAATAACCAATAGTGATGTATTTGCTTGATTGGTCCGTAATCGTGAAAATGCGTACAAACCACTGCAAAACCTTCGGATAACTGGTAAATTACTGGTCGAGGAACATTTTCTCTTCCTGAAGTCTGGAGATAGCCGCTCAAGGGATTTTCCAAATGGTCACCACAATAGGCAGTCACGGAGAAACTGCCATTCGTATACTCCAGGTTGAGCCTCTGGATGGATACGGTGAACTCTTCGGTTTGACAGTCACTCAGCTCAGGGAACCTCCGCTACAGATCCCAGTTCGACATCCTGGATGAAACCATGTCACAATGAGGCCTCTTCCATTTGAGTGATAAATGGAACGGATATGTAGCGCTGTGGTTACGGATGCGGTACAGAAAAGGTCGTTGATTTGATTCCTCATCTCAGGCTAACCGAGCTCCTTAACGCTCTGGGATCGGCAAATAGACATCATACTTGTCTGAAAGGATAAAAGCACTGAATTAATATATCAGTGTGTCATCGAGAGTAATGTCTTTAGTCACCTCTACAGTTCTTAAATGGAGCGGCGAATTCCGAATAGATTGATCAACGCCGAACGCATCATCTTTACAGTCTTTATATACGGATTTTTCAACTTCTATAATTTCCTTCAGTGCATTCATTGATTGTAACGTTTGATTCTAAAGACTTCATTGGCAGCATTAGAGACATTTTCTACCTACACTCACTGAAAATAACATTGGTTCTTGAAATTCACTACTTCAAGAACTCGTTGATATCTGGTAGTCAGCAGATGTTTGTTTCCAGAGAAGCTCAGGTGGTACCAGATTGAGATCTCTCCCTAACGACACTCCTTCGCTGTTAGAAATTGGGTCCAAATTTCTCACCAACACTAATTTCTAAGGTAACCTAGCGTAGGATAATATGTAATCTATATGAACTTCAGGACAGACACTATTATAAACCTAGACAAGCATTTCATACGAGTTATATTTCGCAACATACCCTGCCATTAAGAAGAAAAAGGCAGTAAATAAAAGGGTTAAGATTGTGATTATAACTAAGCCTCAGCTTAACTGGGTTCAATGCCGATTTGGGCTCCCAGATCAATCCCGTTGACGGGTGATTGCTGTTGGCAAAAAGATCGATAGAACTAGCTGAGAGACAGGCAAGGCGAAGGACCCGGATGGTGTGGTGGGGAAGTGCGCTGCTCCTCGGTAACAGCGCGCGTTCGTTCCCCACTTCATACACCTGCGGTCCGGAGTTTTGCAAATATCTCAAAATTTCATACGCGTTATATTTCGCAACATACCCTGCCATTAAGAAGAAAAAAGCAGTAAATAAAAGGGTTAAGACTAGACAAGAGATATCAAACAAGAATGAAAAACAAGAATTGCGGGCATTACCAGATCCCTTTTTTCCTCTAGAAGTTGTTTAGACAGCAAGACTCCAACAACGAACTAGACATAAACCTTCATATACTTTCGGATGAAGCTCTCAAAATCCTTAATCAGTACCGAAAAAAAGGTTCAGCTGCAACCTCACAGCACCATGAACATGTGGTATGTTACAAGTTCGAGAACTAATAAACTCAAAAACCATTATACTATCAGTTAGTGGTAAAGATGGAGAGTGTATTTGCATCTATTCTGCCTTGGCTAGATGGCGAGCGAACGGAGAAACACCTTCAAGATCCTTCCCCTTATCGCTTATCAGCCGAAAAGGAATCCAAAAGTCAACACAGAAACCTGAACAGAAAAAGGGTCAAAGTGGCAATAGTCGTTAGTTTGAAGCTATCGGTTATACATCAACTTAAAATCTAACTACCAGTATATTTAGTCTTTTATTTACGTATCAAAATGCATATCATAGTATCCAGTAATAATCTTCCGTCAACTAAATAAAGAGGTGCTTCTGATATATTCGCAATGGGCGGAGGCGCCTTGCAACACACACGTGGAGTCGATCCCCGCGCCCATGGCCCACCAAGGCTTCCATCTCTCCAGGGTCGGCAAATTGGTACCAGACTTGTCTGAGAGAATAGCAGCACTGGCTGGATAGGCCGCTAGGCCACCGCGAATCATTGTAAAGGCCAAGTATGCCATTCAATCGCCTCCAAACGATACTTGGTAAAGTCGAACGCATAGCGCATCCCTTAGGGATTGCTCAACGCCGAGACCTTTATCCTTTACTTTTTTATCCAACCAAATAATCAGCATGTATATCTTAACCTTTTTATTTACTGCCTATTCTTTTTAACGGCAGGGTATTTTGTGAAGTATAACTACTACAATGATGAGATATTTGAAAACTCCGGACCACAGGTATCTGTGGTGGGGAACGAACGCGCTGTTGCCCTTTCCGGGGAGCAACGCGTTCACCACCACACCATGCGGATCCTTCGTTTCGCCTGTCTCTCAGCTAATTCTATCGATCTTTTGCCATCAGCAATCACCCGTCAACGGGATTGATCTGAAGAGCCCAAATCGGCATTGAACTCAGTTAAGGTGAGGCTACAGTTATAAACACAATCTTGACCTTTTCACTTACTGCCTATTCTTTTTAACGGCAGGGTATTTTGTGAAATATAACTGTATACAGGCTCTGAGGAAGGCGAAATCCGCCGAAACGTCAGCTTGTGCGTAAATAAAGAAATAAAATAGCACCTCGTGTTTGCTGAACAGAAGTAGAAAGATATAACTGAAGACATTTTGTACAAAATGTATATATTTTTGTTTATTGCTTATTATTTTTTCATGGCAGGGGTATTATGTGAAATACAACTACAACGATGCTGAGATATTTACAAAACTCTTTCCTTCCTTCAAACTGCAAACTCAAAACTCCTTACTTTATTTCATGGGCAAATTAACATGAGGTGGTTACCACAAATTTATTCGGTTCACGTTTCGACGCCTTCGTTTTCTTCAGAGTTAACGATCTGAGTCGATGGTCTACAGTCGCTCGTCTTCTCCATGTGGATTTCCTGTCGTTGTATCGAGTCGCATCTTCTTCTGTCGAACACCGCTCAAATGAGGAAACCTCACCTGGCAGTTTTCTTTTGAGGACGACTGCTGTTGAAATGACTATCCGTTGATCATAATTTGTTTTTCGACGGATAACCCACACTACAGCTGTCGGTATCAGACAGGGTTGAAAGTAGCGAAGTAATATGATAAAACTCTGTTCTGCAAAGATCTCACCATCACTGTGCTTGTTTTTCACATAATACCATGCCATGAAAAATAATAGGCAGTATATAAAATATTATGCATTGTGATTTCGACTACGGCCTCAGCTTAACTGACTTCAATGCAGATTTGCGATTACCAGATCATTCCCGTTGACGGGTGATTGCTGATAGCACCGTTAGGGTAACAAACAGGCCGAGA